CGTGGTCTATATATTGGTATGATTGTTTAACAGTCTGCTTTATAGTGCTTCTTTTTGTCACATGGACCTCTACATGTACAGTGTACTATACATGTACAGTATAGGGATGTGTTTCCTACATTGTATTTCCTATCCTTTTTCAAAGAAACACTTGTATATATGTATTTCGTTGAGAATAGGACATCAAATTATTTCAGTGGTCACATGATTACAATTAGTTTGAGATTCTGGCTTACACCTGTACATGTATGTATTCTGATATTTGAATATATTCTTTTTGACTTGGGCAATTCCAAAATGTAGCTTTCTAGTTTTTACAGGGTATTATGTTGAGAAAAGGGTTTGAAAGAGATGAGAGAGAACAAAATCTCGCAAACACATACAGTACATGAACTGTAACTTTGAGTTTGCATTTATAAGTAGTAGTCATGGCACCGTGACCATAAATGGTCACAGCCATGATGAAGACAGGGTCAAAACACAACACCTTTCATTATCATTGGGACTAGGTAGGTGATGGTTTGATATCGCATTGCACCTTCATGGATGATATCTCTGTCTTCACGGAACACTATACGTCTTGTGCCGTGCCATACTGTGTCACATCTGTTTTTCCAATGTTTTATTCATTTGTACAGTGTTGGTTCACTCTAAGTGGAGATGTTCACCTCAACCCAAATTCTTGTTGTGTTGTTTGTATCACATCAGATCATGATGCACTGTGATATTGCAACTGTATGCATGTACCATAATACACAATGCTACAGCAGTCAGAGTTTTAAAATTGGAATTAGTGAAATATACCATTATGATCCTCGGCCTTGAAGGTTATTGTGGTTTACGATGCAGGTCTTCATCCTGGAGTATTCTCCCGATATTCTTTGTAACGTTCTTTAAAAAAAACGATAATATTAAAAAAATTGAAATAAGATTAACTATGATTTTTTCCAAACCCCAATTAATGTTTGTAAACAGGTTCCTCCAAATGTATACCAGCCAGTAAAATCAGATACTACTTCTACAAGATAGTTTTTATGAGAAAAATAAAAAAGACAGTCCTTATAGTGTGAACATATCGTTTAACTCGTTGTGTTAAACGTAACACACTCTGCCCTCCCCTTTCACGCTGTCCTTCATGAGTCATTACCGCTCAGTCAGTAGCCACCAGGCAATATTCTAATGTGTGTATCGCCCGCTTAGAGTCGAGATGACAGTCACAGCTACAGCTATATTGAGTCACCTATCTCTGATGAGAAACGGGAGAGGTTAGTTTGATGGAGATCTGCCAGGGGGCTTTATGAAGATGCCTTGATTATCCCTAAGATCAATTTTTGAATCTCGGTTATGATTTGATGAATATATATATATTTCTTCATCATCAATTGGCCCGGATCTGCACCCGGCCGAGCTGACACAAATTTGATTATAGATGGTGGAGGTAATGAGGCGTTTGATTGGGAAATTGATAGAAGATACACTTTCAGGGGTTTAACCTGCACATACGTTGTAACACAACCATGATGGATGTATGATGTTGTGTACACACCACGATAGAAGTGTGTTATTGATTTGTGGATGGGTAAAATCTACATCCACAGTGAGTCAGGGGCTACATACATGAGTGTAGGAGTGTATTGCAATGTACTCACTCTGAGTGCTTTTGGGATTCCTGATGGAGTGAGTGAATGCTCATATTTATAGCAAAATTCCTTTTTTTCATGGGTACTAAACGAAAAATATAAAGTGTGTCATCTTTTCTGGCACCACAAAGATACAGAATGAAGGGTGTTGGGGACTGCATGTACATGTGTGAATGGTAGAATACTACAGGCCCTGCATTTACAGTACATGCTCTATATTAATTATATTACATTTCTGCATGACATCTACTGGGGTAGATTTTTATTGCAGGCAAAAGTGATGTTTATGGCAGCATGTTGTAGACAAACAAATTCAGTGTCAAAACAGAAAAAGGAATAAAATTGAATTATTTAAAAAAAGTGAAATGGTGCCACCTGTTTACATGTATGTTTATTGGCACCATTAATTAATACAATTTCATCATGTTTGTATGTATGCAAGATATCATGCAGTACGCACATTGATGCTTTTCCATGTTCTTGAAGTTTGGTTTCACATAGGCCATCATGTAGTTGTACATTGTACATGTATGTCTCGGTACATTACACTGCTGCTCTCTCCCCTAATATTGATTATGAATCTGGTTCAGGTTCACATGTGTTTCAGTATTTCATTCCTTCCTGCATCACTTTAAAAGCCATCATAAGTCAATATCCTGTATCCTTAAAATCTTCAGTTTAAGCCTAATAGCCCTATCAGTGGAACAGTTCCCATCCTTCTTGCAAATCTTACTAGGAAATCAAAATGGGAGGTGTCTGTGCCCAGCCCAAAAAGATGGCCTACCCTGTTATATTTTCATAGCAAGGTCAGCTATTTCAGATTTCGAACGCATCTATCTAGATCAGATGCATCTATTTCCTTGAGCAAATTGTTGAAGAAAAAAAAAAATCCCAAAATGTCCTTGCGCACACCAATTACAGCTGAGAAGACTTGTAATGCACTTTTCTGTTTCAAGTGTTTTTACTGGGGGTAGGGGTAGAATTATTTTCCTGTCGATACATTTTATGAATTTGTCATCAGACTTTGAATGTGTGGACTGGTTGAGCTCAGAAATATTTTTTTGGTGATTTTTTTTTTTTTCTCCCCTATGTCTTGAAATATCATGAATAAAGGTGCGCACTGGACCTACTCAGTTTGAAAGATTGTTTAAAAGGACTAGCCTTCCCTTTTCTTCAGAGTTGAATGTTCTTCGCTCAGAATTCAGGGGTATCTGTCAATCAGAGGTCACCTTACATTGAGACATAACATGAATTTTCCTTCTGTTCCATTGGGCATGTTATGGGCACGGCATGTCTTGCTGATACCAAGTGATAAATCACTGTGCAGTAACATCTTAACCAGGATGCGTGGAGGAACATGAAGTCGCACACTCGTAATAATGTATGTGATGTCGTAGGGGGAACTACAGAAGCAGCTGTGGAAATGTTTACAGATTAATGTTGCGATTTATTGCAGAGACGTTGCGAGCTCAATTGAGAGACATTTGTCTTGAACATGCACAGGGGAATGGATAAAGTACATCCTGTACTGGGATCATAAAACAACTTGAGATTTTATTGTTTTAACTATTCTGCCATCTCGTGGCTTTAAATGACATTGACTTTAATACAGTGAAATTTCAGCTACATGTTCGTGCATGATTGCTGTCAGGGTTGGTACGTTTCTGTACAATGTATGTAGATCTGCTGCAAGCAGTGCATCAGTGTATACACCACCAATGTCACATCAGATTTCAGGCCCTTTGTCTCTTTCATTATGTTATGCCTAGTCTCAGCAATATCACTCTGTAGTCTGTAGGCCTGTACTCATTAGCTCCAGTTTTCAAAATAACCTGCTATTTTCAGACCTGGGACATTATCCCGAAGCTCGAAATGGCGTCACCAGACCGATACCTTCATCACAAACTAGCTCGGACGGGCGCAGATTAGCCCGCTATTTCCCAAATAATGGAAAACTTTGCAAACAAGACCAAAATTTCTTGGGATAGTTTCTCGACCAAATGTCCCGCTAATTGCAACTGCAGGCTGATGAAGACGCGTATGGACTGGTTAGTTTGCGATCAGGATAGTTCAACTAGCGGGTCATTTGGCTAATTCGAGCTGATGAAGACAGGCCTTGTGAGTATGAAGACAGGCCTTGTGAGTATGAAGAAAATGATATTGTGTGAACCCTGGAAGCAGATGAGTCCATGGGTAAGGTTTCAACGAGAAACAGACATTGTTAGAGCTACTTCTTTGGGGGGTAGAGATTCTGTTGCAACAGATGCCAAGGGCTTGCACATGTACATGTAGTAGGGCCTTGTGCGTATTCTATTTTATTCGTGAAAAATCGATGTATATGTACATGTATTCTATTCATGACTGAAGATTTTGACCTAGACATGCAATGTAGAGGTACTGATGTGGCGTATTTACAATTTACATGGATTTGTATGAAGCTTTGTGAATGTCATTTAAAAGAAAAATTATTTACATGTACCAGTACGTGTATCATAGGCAATTTTCATACTACAGTGTATGTGTAGTATAAATCTGTTATAAAACAGTTACATACAGTTAGTTATGTACATGTACCAGCTCACTGTATTCATGTTGTATTTAAATCTGGATTTTAAATTATGAATTGATCGAAGTTTATAGATTTATGAAATTACAAATTTTACTCTTTTCTTTCCTATTTCCTCCCCCTCTCTCTCTCTCTTTCTCTCTCTGCAGGTAAACAATGAATGGGTGCCCGTTTTCTCCAGCGTTTGAAGATAAGGAAAATCCAGTCACTCCTAAGGCATTTAGGAGCCCTTCCAGCTTGCCCCACTCGATCCTGAAACCATTGAACATCATCAATATTGTAACCCCTCTGCCTGTCTGCAAGAGTTTGAAGGTAAAACTAACCCACCCCTCCCCCCTCCAGCCAATCAGATTCATGAATTCCATTTGCAGCATTAGCAATTGAAGTTTTTATTCAAGTCTCAGTTTGTATCTTGTATTATCACAACACTTTCCAGTACTCCCAAAAGATTTGCCACTGCCTTATAAATGCAATACATGTATTGCACACTAAAGCATCTTCAGCTTGAATCATTATACCTCATGTACTGTACATCCATTGTCTAATGACCTTTGACCTTTATCATATATCAACAGACTGAACGGTGAAACAAACTTTCAAATGTTACTGCACATCATTCATCGTGCAGACATTTATAACGATCATATTCTTTAGTGTAGATCAAGGGCAAGCTATTTATATGATCTAGGGTGTCTATTCATCCCCTAAACATATTAACCATGTAGAGGTGTGCTTTCTTCATCTCTCCTTCTTTTCCTAATTTAAAGTTTTTATCTTATTAGCATTCAGCCTAGAGAACATTGTTTGCAAACAGAATTTTTCCATCCGGGATGGGCGACACGACCTCTCACATGAGTGACTTTTCATCCGACGGAAGTTTGTCCCCATCACCCCAGTTCTACTCGCGGAGCTACAACCAGGCTGTGCAGAGCCTACCCTACACCACCGAAGTCAATATCAATTTCAATCATTTGAGCAGCTCCATGCAGACTAGGGATAGCATAGCACGAAGGCCTCCCCAGAGATCAAATTCCATGCCAGTCACTCGCGCGGAGAGTCAGAGACCCCGCGTGCAGAGCAGACACAACAAAGACAGGGGCTCTGTGATGAATGCGCCATCCCCAAAGGGCAGCCCTGCTAGCACTACTAGGACTCTAGGTGATCGCAAGAGAGTCGAGAACTCTCGCAAGTCGGCAACGAGGGAACGCAAACGAGGAGCCGGTAACGGTGGTGGTGGATCACGTCGTACGTGCAGATTGATGAGCGCTAATGCTGATTTGGATATGGGTAGCGCACATTCTGATGGTTATGGGGTGGGGGATAGTGGTAGTAATGCCAGTTCTGTAGTGGCACCTGCTTGTGGGGATGTGTACCTTCCCTTGGATGCGCAGCCCGAGATCGAGCCATGCTCTCTTCCGGACGTGATCGACCCTGCAGACATTGGCACTGTGATGGAGATGGATCCTGGAGTCTCTGATGATGAACTCATGGCACGACTGAGGCAGCGTGATGTCAAGAAGGTCCTGGAAGCCCTAGGTGTACCCGACGACTCCATAGCGGATGATTACAAGGACCTGTCCTCCGGTAGCGATTCTCTCTTCACAGACGCAGAGCTCAGCCAACTGGACAACGACAATGAGCTGAGGTCGTTGGAGGAAGAACTTGGCAGTGAATTTGATAATGAAGCTTTGCTTCCCGATGATACCCGCCCGCAGAATCCTGGGGGCACCCGCATGGTGAATGGTATCGACCAAAGCTGTCCTGGGGACTCTCCAGAACTATCAAAGGAATCAAAGAGGTTACCCAGTCAGAGCTCCAGTGACTCTGCTCTAGGTGTGGCCTTTGACAACGCGGCCAGCTCACCACCGCAAGATCTTGACTCCCCGTTGGCGCAGGTAGTGTTGTGTTTGCATGGGATTTGCAGTGTTGATTCACTGAGCATGTTGTTTATAAGGAGTTGACTGAAGATTGTCTGAAGCACGCATGGGTACCTGATCGACTCCTCTCATTTCACCACCGAGCCTTCCCCGATTCACGAAGACTTAACGATCCCGTTGCCTCCCGCAGTCGAGCATGATTCCTAACGACCATGAAGAGAAGTTCTGTAGACTAGATTTCCAATGCTTGGTATTCAGATTTTGTTACAATTTTGTTCAATTCACCATGAAGTTTGTCCTTACGAACATTTGATTTTGTTATGTATCGTCTCTAGAGTACAGCTTAACATTTTGAAATGGTTTTGAGTATTAACACTGGAGTCTTTGTCATTATTAACAATAGTAAGCATACATTTTACGTGTACATGTACATGTAGCACTAATTTGATAGTAGTTAGTGAAAGACTTTAAGATAGAATTGAGTTTTGGTCATGATATTACATCCATTGTATAGATGCAATTTATAGGAAAGGTTAAGTCTGTAATAAATACAAATGTGTACATTGTGAGGGTTTTTGAATCACTAAAATGGGAGGAAAGGAACTCTGACAGTCTTGCTGGAAGTCAGATTGAACACATCACACAAAAATGGGTATATGGGACAACACACAATCCTGTGGCATGAAAGTTTGGTTCATACTTGTCTTCTGTTCCTGGTCATAATTCAAACATGAGGGCATTTTAAGGTAATTCTTTTTTCTCAGGTCATTTAAACTATGATGCCCTTCCAAATTGATATAGAAAGAATAAGAAAAGCTCACAATTATTATTTATTTACCAGGGGGATGTTTCATATAGCTGTACGTAAATTTACGCATGACTTTACGAACAACTTGTATATGAAAAGCCAAATGGGATGCTTAATAATTATTGATTATTATTTATTAAGTTGAACTGTGCAGATGTAGATTAACATTCCTATTATAACAACCATTTTTAATGCAAAGTTTAATTTTTGCCATAATTTAATTGAGTTTATTGGAAATATCGGAAAAAACTTTGGGCATCCTATCTGGCACTCCATACAAGTCATCCGTAACGTCATGCGTAACTTTACGAACTTTTTATGAAACACCCCCCAGAACTCTACCTTCTCCTTAAATAGCAATCAAGAGGTACATGTATGGAATTATCGTACTCTAATAAAACATTTCCTGTCTCATGAAATGGAATATAAAAAGAACATTCCTTTTAAAAAAGAAGGGGAAAGAGATTGACATGGTTACACACATGTCCATGTAAACCTTGAACATTATTCTTCCCTCTCCTTCTTACCTGCCCGAGTTGTTCATGAAAAAAATTTATTGTGACTCAAAATCTTAGGACATGGATATGATATTGGAAACATAATCTGTTAATTGCAAGATAACTTGAAGTCAGTCAACACCCTAAATTTATTTTTAGACAAAACCAATGTCTTAGTGGTTTGTAGATCCTAACTTTGAATTAACCGTGTCTTTTGTTGCTGAACATGAATAAGCCAAACTGTGCATTTCCTTAGCCACGTTTTAGGATAACAGGAGCAGTAGAGGAGAGGATGTTTGCAGAGCGAAATGTTTTCATGCTTTTCAACTTGTTTTAAAACCAAACAACATTAAACCAACAACCAGAGGAAGAATAGCAGATTCAAACTGTTTTAATATTCTGCAAGTTTTAAAATCGAACAAACGGACCATAACCTGCTTGTCTCTTCGGAATCGTACTCAGATTTACAACTCGTTAGAGTTCTGCCCGTGTAACATGGGTGGTTGCTTATCCAACGATTTTCCGTCTGACGAAACTCGTTCTCCAGAAGGGGTAAGCAGAGCAGACCTTCTTCTACACTGCTTGCATGTTCATCTTTTATTTTCTTTTGATTATCAACCAATATTGATTATAATTTTGCGCATCTAAGCAGTAGAAGAGCTGTATGCAGCAACAAAGTTGGATCCAAAAAAGTTGCCTTTCTTTTAATACTACATGTACCAAGCAGTTGTAAATCTCAATTGATTACATGGACAGAGCTTTTACATGGTCTCTTTGATGCAATTATTTTTATGTGACCCGCTATTGTTCTTGATATTGAAATTGGTTAGCTGTCAAAAATATTCTGGTTAAACGATGGTCTAAACTTGTTATGGAAATACTTATCTTTATATGTCCATATCAAAAACTCATAAAATCACAGCTAATATTCAAAATATGCCTGTCGGTTTAGATTGCGTACCATCACCTAATTGATAGGTCCTTTATTTGGGCGCTTGATGATATTCCTGCTGATTCGACTAAGGTACATCATGAGATATTTTTGACATATGATTTCAATGTATAGATGCAAGCTAGCTCACGTCTTATCTTCACATTAACAGGCAGTTCAATTTTCATATCATTTGCCTATTCTAGCAATATGCAAGTATGCATTCATATTGCAAAAAATAGCAAGGCTACACTTATTTTTTATTAGAATCATTTTTATGAAATAGGACGTACATTTGTAAATACATGTATCAGTACTATTGTAGTGTATGCTTAGTTACATACATTTGCATTCAACAAATTTGATAAAGTTTGATGGGGAAAAAAAAGAGTTCAATTGCCCATCATTAACTATAAAGATGGGGTGGACTATTTTCTCAATATTATGTAATGACATATTTTCAAGAAAATTTAATGGTACTAAAATGTGGCCATGATTTCAATTTCAGTTCTTTCCAGAAATGTCCCTATTCTGCCTATAGAGCAAGTATTTAAATATGTATGTGTACATGTACACTGCACACCTATAATACTGGTGCTCTGTCATGTGTGGTGGGTACTAAGCTGTGTTTATTATCGAAGCCATCCAATTAAGCGGAAGACGGAGCTTGCCTGAGGCGCCTACGGAGGTTGCTTTGGCACAATGTCAGGGAGGGCATGGCATGGTCTATGGCGGTTGTATAAACACATGATAAGCAGAATGCCACAGACATTTCTCATGTGGTATAATATGATGACTTTGTCCGTTTGGAGCCAGAAGGGCGTTAATCCATATACTTTAACACAGAGTTAACGCCCTTTTGGTTCCAAACAGACGATTTGCCATATGATCGGTCTTCCACGGCTGATGTCTGTAGATGCCTGGCCAGGTGAAGAGAATGAGGGAATTAAAAAAAGAAGGATTTTGCAAAACGAAGGGTTATAATCACTGCAGTCGCAAGCAATGATTGGATGATACATGTACAATGTACATTTTGTAAAGATTGAGTACTAATACGGTTTGTCACTAGATGTATAATAACATTACCATGCATGTACAAACCACTTATTAGCAGCTTATGCACAAACAACTTAAAAGGAAAAAAAATATATATACTCAGATGTGTGTAATTTGTATATCAATATGAAATTATCACTTTGTATGGAATATTTAGGAGTTAAGTATGAAAATGAAGGGTTACTGTAAAGAAATTTTTTTTATTTTTTTTAAAGGGCATATTTTCTTAAATTATATGAAAATAGTTATGATTTTGTCATGTTTCAAGTGAAGAAAAATATTCCATTGAAATAGAAATCACATGTTTTGAGAGGAGGAGGTTGTCCGATAATTTCAAACTTGTAAAATTTTTCTTATTTCATTTTCAGGACAATGCCTCAGTTTGATATCAATTGCTAATATAATGTTTGATAGAAATGGAATGCTCATACATGTAGTTTATATTATTCATACTAATTTTTGTATTATTTAACATATTTGATCTGAATTCACACATTTCATGTTTAAAAAAAATAAACAATGCATACTTTGATTTACTTTCATGTTTGATTTATCCCAACTGCATTTATTTTTTATTTCTAGTCTAGTTAACTTTAACAGCATATTATCCTATCATTGTTTTTTTTAACAATGGGATGTCTAACTCTTGTGTATTTAAATGTTAAACTCATGACAATGAAAATAACTGCTCTTTGACTTTTCTTCCACTTCGAAATTCCTGCTGAAATGATGAACTAAATTAATTGCAAAATAAATAAAAAAAACCTTTGAAGAAACATGCTTTTACTTTAGAGCAGACACGATAATATTAAATCCTTAATGAAAATATTTGTTTTGTTATATGTTCAACATATTTAGAGTTTGTAAAATTGTAAAGCTTATGTTTATATAGTTAGACCTTAGGTATTTCTCAAAAGGGCTCAAAGCATAAGCACTTACCATGTGTTATAAAAGATACATAAATATAAAGATGCGTTTTGATATTACTGCAGCATTTACAAAAAGCAATTTACCCATACAGTATATCATTTGCAATTGTGAAGGAGGTTTTAGAGAGAGAGCAGAGACTATTGCTTTGTTGCATAAATGCATACACACAGACACGAGCACAACATGAAGAAAAACAAAAACGATAAAAGAACAAAAGCATGTACCATCATGCATCCTATTCCCAGGCTCCCAGCATCGTATTTTAATAAATTGTAATTTCATTTTGGTTGAATTTCTGCAGGTATCCTTCAAGACTCCAGCACAACTAAGCCAGGCCCCTCACAGCAACTCCCCGTACGGTGCCGTCCGAGATTTGGACGAGCAAGAACGCTGGTCCGAGAGGGCCACCGTAGTTACCAAGCCGGACCATGAGGATTACATGATCATTGCTTCTGAGATCCTCAACAATATCATCCTTAATCTTCCCGTCGGGTAAGAAGGATATTTCCCTGTTTTTATTGTATATGTACAGTCAAACCTGCTTTAGTGACCACCTGTCTTCAAAGACCACATTTTTTGTTTCCCTTGAAAACGTTTTCTCATTCAAACATGTACTAAAGGAACCTATCTACAAAGACCACCTGTATACATAGACCACCTGTATACATAGACCACTTGTATACAAAGACCATTTTTTGTGTTTCCCTTGGGCGATCGCTAAAGACAGGTTTGACTGTATTTGTTTTTCAATACTAGTGGATCAGCTGATGGAATCAAGCCGAATCTCAAGAAGTGCAAAATATGCTTCCTGTTTTATTTGTCAATGACTTTAATAATTTATACCTTCCAGGGAGAGAAAAAAAATATAATTTAGCTTGTGAAGGCTTATATTTAAGTCAGTGTATCAAGTTCCAAGATATTTTAATACATTTTAACCCATTAAGAATTTGCTTCACAAAAGGGGCATTACCTTCAGCCCAATTTTTTCCCCTTGATGTTTTTTATGAAAGATTTATGTGATTTTAGGAGCAATCTAAAATCTAGATCATATTGAGAAGTAGTGAATTATCTGATCAATTTTTGTATTCAAGCGATGATTTATTTCCCCCACAAAATATGTAGACAAGATCAATGTATAACATGGTCTAACTCACCCATGTAAACGGTCAGTATGTCATCCTTGATGTCCATGCCAGAAATTGGGACCCCCTCTTTATACCACTTTGGAATGTCGGGGACAAAATGGAGCTATTGGGTCCTGATTCTTAGTACATGTAGCTGTATTAAAGAGGCATTGTTCAATAGCTCTCTGTAGAGAAACACAATGAGTATAAATGATAGGATTAGCCAACAAAGACTTGGCATTCCTGTAATGAATTACAATGTATAGTAACTCAAAGCCAGTACCCTTTTAAGAATTGAAAGTAATTGGTAGGAAACCAATTTCCAAAAGAGGATTTCTACACTGAAGTCCAGCCGCCCTTTATTTTAGCATGATTATACACCCTCACATCATGTAAAGACAGTGTGGAAAAAGTGATTCAGGCATCTGACATTGAATAACAATGTTGTGGGTGCACTTCCTGGCCCTGATCCTCGAAAACGCATTTAATCTACAGTTGTCTCTTCTCATCTTGGGGTATGGGCTCCTGAAGAAAATCTCGGCAATGTGGCCAAAGCCTGGGTAACGATGCTACAAGCTTTTAAATCGAATGGCAAAAATTGTTAAACCTGCTTTAGATTCATACTGTTTGTGAAGCCCATCTCTCGATAAAGATTGCATTGAGTTTAACCTGTGTAACAAAACAGGTCAGGTGGTCTTTCTGTACAGGTTCATGTAGTAGACATTTCTACGGACACAACATGTGGGCTTTCTAGACAGGTGGTAGCTGAAGCAGGTTCCACTTTATAATATATTCCTTTTAGCAATTTGTCGGCTGATAGCAAAAAGGACGTCAAAGCTATATAATATCAAAGGCAGTAACGTCCTTCTTGCGGGCAGGCGATAAATTAACCCAACTACAAATCACAAGGTATGGGGTTAAGTCCCAATGTGGCACTAATGTCCTTTGGCAAGACATTAATCTACATGTGCCACTCTCCACCCAGGTGTAAATGGGTACCTGATATGCTTGAGCACTAGTCCATATTATTTTTTATTTTTTTAAATATTTTTTTTAATGATCTGTGCACATGGACTAATTTTTTTTTTATACACATTCAACTCTCAGCGAAGTCGCCACTGCTCCTGATTCCGTTACCCCCGTTGTTCCAGCTCCTGAGGCCGAGGCCAACCTGCAGGTCCAAGACTCTGCACCCAGCAGCCCCCCAAACCAGTCACCTCCTAGGGAGGGTAACGCAGACGCGCCCCCTTCAGAGGGCGGGGCCACCATGGAGGACAGTGTCAGCACCCCTCCTCCTCCATCTCCGGAGCCAGCTCGTCAAAACATCTACGAGCTCAACGATGAGGACATCGCTAATATGAACCCGTTCCAGAGTAAGTGTGTTCGTGATCTTCGACCGACCATTTTGGTACCTAGGCCCGATAATTACCCGATTAAAACCGGTTTCTCAACTTTTTATTTTTTCCCGATTTTCACCAATTTTTTTTTTTTCCCTAATTTTAAATTTTTTTTTTTTTTTTTACCAATTCCCCCCCCCCCCCCCCCCCCCGGTTTTTCCAGATTTTCCCCAATTTGCTTACTCAAAAGAGGGGAATGTTGTTAGATGCCATTTTTTCCCCCTGAATCCTTTTTTTTTTTTGTAATCAAGGGGCACGGTTGAGGGGAACCCCCCCCCCCTTTTTTGTTTGTTTAGTGCTCACCATCACCCCTGGATACCTCAATCTCACTGCCAAGCCAATCCGAAACCGACTCAGGGCCGACCAATATTGGACATGCAATCTGATAGAATTGTTTGTTTGGTCTCTTGTCGGTCTTGACGGTGAGATTGTGGTATCATGCAGTTGATGCCTTGGAGAGGTGTACGAGTCCAATGGATAAGTCTCAGGACTGTGAATCCACGTCGCAGCGCTTATGTCCTTTTGCAAGGCATTAATCTATATTTGCTATTCCCCACCCCAGTGAGCTGAATGGGTAATTCATTCCTTAAAATGCTCGAGAGCCATAGTGGCAGACGTGCTAAAGTCGGGATAATAATTGTGAAGCACCAGGAGTGTCAACTTTTACAGACTTGAGTGCTATACAAGAATCCACTATTATTATTATTATTATTATTATTATTATATTGGTTAAGTCTGTACCAGGCTTTTACAGGTTTCTGACAATGTACACTACCGTGAAAAAAGACTACAGCGTAAATCGATAGAAATCATTACTTTATCTACATGTAATTCCGCTTGCAGTCAAAGAACTGTATTGTACTCGGTAAATCAAGCTGACTAGACTTTGCAATACAGTTTATTTCAATTAAACAGTTACAAGCGCCATTGAAAAGATTGGAGGTGAATAAGATATGATGACTAGCCACCCCCACCCCCTCCCCATTCCCCTTCCTCCATTTTGATTAAACTGAATGATCTGAATGTCTCGTTACACCATCTTCACCAAGGATCTAGAGCTTTTTTTGAGCAAAAAATAACCAAAGGTGAGCAGTTGTCATTAACCTTATAAATGCAAATTTGTATTTGTTCAAATTAACTTTTCTAGCTGTACGTGTAGATTAATCATTCCCTTTATTTATTTCACTAAATTACCCTTACCCAAGTCACACCAGCAAGAAAGAAACCAGACCGACAATTGACAAAAAAAAAAAAATGTTACCAAGAAAAGCAAAGATATTGTCGGTTTGGAGTCAATTTTGCAGTTTGACAAGGGCATTCTTATTAAATGAAGGCTGCAACTTGTGGATAAAATAAAGAGGATGGTTAGCATGGCTGATGAAAATAAACATTGCATTTTTTTTTTAGTGGTGCATGTGGAGCAAGATGAACTTCTTTTTTTGCAGGATAAGATGGGCCATGGTTATTCCCATACAAATACATAACTGAAATTATGGTTGTTGTTGCTGGGAAAGAGATGGCATGTAGGTAAATCTCAATGTAAAAACATGAAAAGTTACAAATGAATTTGATGTTAAACCTGAGAACATTTTCCATTGAAAGGGTGTTATATGTGAAAAGTTAAATATGAAATTTATGTGTCAGTAGATGCAGTAAAAAAATTAAAATGAAACCACAGAAATTAAAGACATTTAAGGACGTTGTTGCCCTGGGCTACCGCTGCAAATTCTACCCTTCCCTCTAAAAATGGAATTGTACATGCCCAAACACATAATAATAGGAAATCAAATAAAATCTGCTTTTCTTTTTCAAATTGCTTGCCAGTAAATTTGGTGTGGAGGAAGGTGCTGTTAATAAAAATTTGTTATAAATGAAAATTTTATTGCAATGCTGATCATGATATATTGTGCCTGCATAAATGAATCTTTCAGTTCACCACATTTATCTGATAAAGAGCTTTTGATGTATGGTTAAGGATTAAGAATTAAATTATGCATTAAGAATACTTCTGATTAATCATGAAGGCCCTGAATCTACTTTGTGAGCTACTGAGCTTCATATTTGACTGTGATTTAATTTAAAAATAATTTCCCTGTTAAAGGGAAAGTCCACCCCCAAAATAAGTTTGTTTTGATAGAGGCAGAATAATAAGAAAATCAGGTGAGTGAAAGTTTGAGCAAATTCTGAATGAAAATAAGAAAGTTATTAATTATTGAAGTTGTGATCAATCAAATACAAATTGGCAACTCTGTGACTTATTATACGAGCTCTCCTTCATTTGCTTTGTGCATAATATTCCATAAAATCATGTTTTCTTCGTTATTGATGACGGAATATATATTTGTTCCTTGCAGGGGGAGTATAGAAACATATTTGCAATTATTATATTTAGGGTGCATGTATGGTTGAAATTTTTCTTGAGGGAAAATGAAAATTTTAGATTTTTTTAGTACTGAGCAAATGGAAGTTGAGCTCGCATGATACGTCATAGAGTTGCCAATTTGTGTTTGATTGATCACAACTTCAAAAATCCTAACTTCCTTATTTTTAATCGGAATTTGCTCAAACTTTCACTGACTTGTTTCTCTCGTTTTTCTACTCCTATTAAAACTAACTTAATTTCAGGGTGGACTTCCCCTTTAAGTCCAATAGCAATTCATAACTATCACAAAATTATTGTAACCCTGTTGACTAATTAGTAATACATGTACGTGAAAGTATTTTGAGTATTTTGAAAATGTGAAATCTGATTCTGTATGATGTTGCGTAACATACACCCTTGTCCCATCACTGTGTATTAGTAATAACAGACATGTAGGGTGTTCTTGTGGTTGCTAAGTTTTGTTAGTTTAAAAAAAAAACCTTGACAGAAAAAATAACACTTTTTAAACATACATTTCGTTTTATTCACTTTACCAAGAGTAGAAACCTGCACAACCTATTTACCAAGAGTATTGAACATGATGTACAACCACACGCTAAACTGTTGAAGCTAACTTGCCAATCTTTTCTACCGGTTCCATCCGGTTCCATCCGGTTTTATCTTTTAGGTACCACCAAGATGCAGAACTCTCCACCTATTACCAAGAAACCCATGGCAGACAACCAGTACTCTGCAGACATTGACTTTGATAACATCAAGGATCCCTTTGGTACCTGCAGCAAAGTGGCCAATACACCCGAGACCATCAACCGGTAATTGTTCCCCTTCAATCTAGTGATATGAATACCGTAATTAACGTTGTATTAACCGCACTTTTTTGCTGCCGAAAAAAAAAACCCTCAAAGTCGGGGGTGCGTCTTATACACGGTACAAAAAAAAAAAAAAAAAATGTTTTTTAAAGTTTTGCTTTATACCCCTCCACCTGGCGCTATGCCTGGCAGTGTCTCCCAGCTCAGTAATCTGTGTGTTGACTCACCACTCGGAAACTAGAACAACACTCCAATTTGTCTGTCATCTTGGTTTGAAAGTAATCTTTCTGATAGATCTCAATACGTAGTTTATAATAATAATTCCTCGAATGTTTCTTCTATTACACATGGCGTATCACAAGGTTCTATCCTAGGTCCTCTACTGTTTTTTAATTTACATTAATGATCTTACACATTCAACTGCACCTCGCAGTTAAATGAAAGGCCTTCCCGCGTTTGCCGTTGGTTTCTTAACACGGACCTGGCTTGCTGCCCACAGAGAAAAAGGGGTGCGGTTAATACATGGGGGCGGTTTATACAACGTTAATTACGGTACTTTGATGTATAATGTCTGATTGAAGTATTAAAGTAATAACATTGTGAAAGATGCACCATATGGATTCAAAAGAACACGACATTGTTAAATCTTTGTTTAAATCTTCTGATTCAGAAATTCCAGTTGAAATAGTTGTGCAATTACTTTTGGTTGATATCATAGAGATTTGTGAACAAACACAGAAGGGTGGTTTGACAGGGATTGTTATATGGTATGTGTGTATTTATTGGGCTTTTCCGGGCGTGTATCAATCACATGGGATTATTTCATCTAGGACTGACCTTCAACATCACCATCCAAAAAACTTGACTCATTTTCGAATCTGGGTCCGATGAGAGACGGTTTGTAGGCAAAGACAGAGAGCTGACCGTACCGCGGACATTACAGCTAGACCGACTTCACATTTCTATGGTGCCATTATAAATGTATTATATTGAATCTAACCAAGCATAAATTCAATGAAGTAAAGTTGACATATCACCATTAACAGGTCTCCAAAGCAGAAGAAGAAGTCTCCCAAGATCAAATCCCCGACCCCAGAAGCCGAAAAGGACCTTGTGCCTCCTGCCAACAATGATAACGACGTTGCTGTCGATGTTGATGTCGAGAAAGAGGTGAACGAAGAGGAGCACAGCCCCCCATCCCCGGAGGACGTCATGCTCCAGTCCCCGCAGATGAACGGTGGGGATGATCTCGGGAACGATCTCGACAAAGAGGAGGACGATTCCAGGCACGAGGATAACAATGTGCAGCTGCTGTCGACGGGAGATGGTGACAGCGGGGTCGCGAGTGCAGAGGAAAGACAGCCTGATGAGGTCATGCCTTCATTTGATGCTCAAGGTATAATCATGACATTGTTTTTGATCTGAGACTTTGCCCCCAAATTCAAAAACTGGATCACTAAAAATGTTATGTTATACTTGGGACCCCTAAAACCCCTTAAAAAAAAAATTCAGACCTCCTGTGAATAAAATGCTTGTGGAGCTACGTTTATAATATTCAAGCTGATTTTCTTTCTAGACTTGATACCAATTCACATGTATTTGTAAATTATGCTTGGTTTGCAATCGTACTCATTTCCTTATTGAATGAGCTGTCATGAAAAGGGTAAACAAAAGTTGTTCGCTTGTTCAATTTGTACAAGGTGAAATTGACCAAACGAATGTTAGGTTTTCTTCAGACAGCCCTCAAAATAGGGATGATTATTAATCCCATTGAAATCATGGAGACGTCGGGGCAGCGTTTCATGAAACCGTCCTAAGTACAAGTTCACCCACATCCCGTCGAAACGTGTGTTAAACTTAATACACACATTTCAATGGGATGTCGGTGAACTTGTACTTGTATTTCATGAGACGCTGCCCTTATTCACTGAGTTGCGAATCATTCTTACCATATCATTGCAAAATGGGAGGGTGTGACGTCATTAATCATTAAAAAAACCCATTGAAGACTCCTAACGTTGACTAATACTCAGTACAAATTTGCTTGTTGTCTTTGACAGATGAAATTCCAGATATGATTGGTGATGACGAATTCAGACCAGCTATGGAAGGTAATATATTCATTCTTATCATAATAATAATAATGGTCGCTTCTTATGAAGCGTCTAGGTCTGTCAAGCGTAACGCTTGCTGCGCTTACCGGTATACAAAATAAACAAGAGTACAATAATTCTAACTTCACCTTCGACAAGTTTATATGTGATTTTACAAACAATCACATTTCTAATCATTGCCTTATCTCTCTCCTTTAGAAGGTGTAGATCTGCATCCCAACATAAAATTTAAATTAACACGAACTGATGATCGCTATTGTATGTCTGAATCCATACTTTGGAATCAATAATAGAGATTAAAAAACAAGAAGTTAGTTATAACTTCATTTTTACAAGCCATGAATCATTTCTTATCCTGGTGTTTGGAACATGATATTTGATTTGTTATACATTATGATGGAGATGCCATGGGGTATTACTCTTCACACATGAATAAATTTACAATGTTCATATTTGTCTCCACCTCCATCATTATTCAATTCTGAATTCATGTATCTACTACGGATACCCGTTGTATTTTAAAGTGTCTCTTGAAAGGCCATTGCACCTCACCTTTCTAAAAGCATGAATGTTGACTAAAGGGTGATTTACCAAGCGCGGGATCTTACTTTAGTCATTCATCCACAAAAGCAACAAAAGGAAATACATCTATTTTTACTAATCTGCCATGTTCATTTCTTTTCAATCCACCATTCTTTTTTTCATGCACGTCACTCGTCCTAACTCCCATTTCATTGCATGTATTAAACAACTCTTGCTATTTTCTTTGTTGACCAAATTGATTAACATGTCTGGAATTATTTTTGAATGTGTGTGGAATTATTCTGCCTCTTCTTACCTGATACAACTCCTCAACTTTGTTAAAAATCCATGTCTGGTATTCATTCTGCCTTAATCGCCCCTCCCCCTCCCACCTCCCCCCCCCCTCCGACCTCCCCCCCCCCCATTTCCTTTTCTGCTGTCTGTTGTGTTTCAAACACCTAATGTCAACACAACAAATGTTGCTTCTTTCTCCTTGCTCCTTGCGTGTAACGTCTTTCCCATTCTATGTCTGTCATCTGCGGGTATGATCTGTCATGTTCTCCTCCATTACTTGATCTCACTCTTCTACCTCCATCTTATATCATTATCATACAAACTTTGTTGATAATTGTGTCCATACTTTAATTGTGCTCCTTCTTTATTTCCTCCTACACGTCTGTTCATGAAAAATAATTGTTTTGCATTAAATGTGCCCATGTACTCATCTCTATAATTCCCTTTCAAAAATCATTATCTCCTTTCAATCATTCATTCATTCATTCATTCATTCATTCATTCATTCATTTATTCATTCATTCATTCATTCATTACTTCCTCCATTTATTCATTCATTCATTCATCCTTCCCTCAATTTATTCATTCAATCATTCATTCGTTCATCTGTTCATTCGTTCATTCATTCCTTCCTCCATTCCTTCATTCAATCATTCATTCATTTGTTCATTCATTCCTTTCTTCCTCCATTTATTCATTCATTCATTTATTCATTTATCTGTTCATTCAATCATTCATTCGTTCCTCAATTCAATCATTCATTCTTCAATTCAATCATTCATTCATCCATTCATTCATTCATCTGTTCATTCCTTCCTCCATTCAATCATTCGTTCATATAATCAATCATTTATACGTATTAACACAATCCACATTGATGCCCGTCCCTCCCAAACTTCATCACCAACTCATCTCCCGAATCAACGTCTTCCATCCCATTGGACTAACACACACACACTATGACCTTTGACCCCAAATACCTCCTGCTGAATAGCCTCTGAAGAAGGAGGAGGAGTAGGAGGAGGAGGGGGCGGTCATGGGGGACTCACTCGAGACATAAGCTTTGAAGAGATGGAGTTCAGGTTGGCAGAAGAAGGTATGAGAAAGATAGATGCCAGCAATGTTTTAAAATGCACCCAAATGGCAGAAGTAATATTGTCAATTTGCTGTTTTGTGCCGATGTCTGCACGAAAATCCATGGCATGCGCTTCCCTTGACGTTTATATTTTGTCAAATGCACTTTTAATCTGTAGGATTCCAATAATTGTTGTTGTAATGCAGTAGATGGGGTATACAGTCGACTTAATAATTAAGTCGACTGTAGTATCACTGAGTGTGTGTGTGTGTGTTTGAGTGTGTGTGTGTCATGGAGGTATTAACGCTGATTATCTTTAAAGCACAAAACTGAAGAGCAGTTAGAAGGATATTAACTCACTTGGGATATGTGTTGGAATATTTTCAAAGGCTTGAAGTTTCTGAATAAACAGTGCATTTACATGTACTTAAAATATGTGGTTACACGTACATGTACACATATGTTAAGATTAATGACCCTATTAAAGGCTATAGATCATTAAAGAGAAGGTTGAGTTCTGGGAAGAGGTGAAAAACAATTTGTGAGCGTATTGTATTATGCAAGTGTGGAAGAACATCAGATAAAAAAATGTTCCCTGAAAAGCATGGCTCTTCAAATGCCTTAAAGGTAAAGACCAGTATTGGAAACGCCAATTTCCAAAAATGAAATGGAAGCTCTTATTACCAATCATGCGAAAGAATATGTTTTGACTAATACATGATGATAAAAATTTTGCCGGGAAACCGCCTACTAATTGATATATTTGGTAAATTAGTTTATCTACATGGTCTGTGAGAGGTAAACGCATGTGTAGCGCACGTGTGTGTATAGTCCCATATACATCTTTCTGTGTACAGTGCTTGTAACTTTACGAAGACTGGGCCAAATTTCTTATCATTTTGATGATTCCAGAACCTTGCAGTACACACCAATGCTAGATGATCAACCTTTTCTGATCAATTCCACACCGTTTCTTTCACAATGCAATCGCATGACCAGAACTCAACTTTATCTTTAAATCAACCATTCTGTGCTTCCCATGTACAGAGAGGAAGGGGGCTTAGTCTTTCATGAGTGTTTGGCCCTGACTGTTACGTGATGTGTATCCAAAGAGGGGATGGTATTTCCTCTGTGTTTGTTGTCCTGCACTTGCATGCTGTGATATATATGTGTGTCACATGTGGATTAGTCTTAATTGATAATGGGGGAGGGAGGAGAGAGAGAGAGAGAGAGAGAGAGAGAGAGAGAGAGAGAGAGAGAGGGGGGGGGGGGGGAGAAGAGATGGAGGGAGAGAGAAAGATCAGAGTGTGTAAGGGGTGGGGGAAAGAGGGAGAGAGAGGGAGATGGGGAGGAGAAAAGGGGAGAGGAAGAGAAGAGAAAGATAGAAAGAAAGAGAGAGAGAGAGAGAGGGGGAGGGGAATAATTGGATGGACGAGAAAGGAGATTTACATTTGAACTTAACACAGCTAAAGATGTGATGTGACATTTTTTTGAAGGATAAAAGTTCTGTGAAAATCTTTCTTAAGTTGAGTTTTTACTATCAATCAGATTAAATCGAAATCATGAACCTTATTTACTCCCAAGTTTCTAATAATTGTTTGCTTAGCATGAGCATGAGCATGACTCATTTCATTTTCCATATCATATATCACATTGTAATTGTTTTTCAGTCGGTAGTGCAAGACTTAGGAAATCATGTTTACATTAGCAATGTACTTTAATCAGATGGATACATTTGTAAATATGAACGAATGTGATAACCTTTTTATATCCTCTTTTAGTCAAACAGTTGCAAATTATTTGCGATATGAGTTTAATTGAAAAATCCTTTCAGGCCTTTTTCAGTCTACTGTATAAATAAAGTATGAATATTACTATGATCATCTCAGCATAATTTGTATTGTTTTAGCTATTTGGAGCTGGCGGGATGGTTTACTCTGTGTAAAAATCATAAGTGTTAGCACCCTTCTGGCTACAAACGAACTATATGATGCATGGCAAAATATTTCTATGTTGCTTTCATGTTTGAAATATTATTCCATTCATGGTTATGCCTCATAGCTGTTAACCACGGATATGGCAGATTCTTAGAGATTCCAAATCCGCACATGCGAGCAGCTATTGCACGTAAAGGTATTGCATGAAAACTAATGGTTGGTTGGTTGATACAGTGGTGATATTCAGTCGTAGCTGCATGAATTATTCATATTTAGTTGACATTCTAATTATAATGATTGTAACTTTTGTACATTATATTTGATGTCCATTGTTTATGTATTGTCTGAAAGTGGAACTTCAGCAAATTTCCCAAAAATAGTATATGTACTGTATACCCCACAGTTTTAACAAAGTGTAAGTCTTCAATATTCATTGTACATTGACAGACCCTTGAATAATGTAGGCCTAAAGATGTTACATGCATATTCTGAGAAACGGTACTTCACAAACAAAAATCTAGACTACAGTGTAAGGGACATCACCTTGTATCCTCTGTTAAAGGCGCTGTATAAATCTTCTTAAATCCAAATATAAAAAGAGAAAGGATTGTACTGCTGAGCATTATGTTGATCGATTGTAGAGTATACAACTTTTTGTGTTTTACTAAATACTAGTTTTAATATTCTTATGTCTGAACCATGTCATTATCCCATTACTACGAAGAAGGGTTTGTTTGCATAATTACTCATTATTCTGCACAATGATAGTGGGAATGCATGAGCTAATGTAGATATCAACAATAAATTTAGATTGTAAATCAAACAATAAGCTCAAGTACTGATAAGAGTTTTCTCTTTATATGATAATGCCATTTCAAATTTGACTGTATTTGTTATTTGAACCCTGATTACAATTGTTACATGTATAGGCGCATTTATACTGTCAAATACCTCATTTTGAAAAGTCGCGATGTTTCGTGCACCCGGTTACACTTGTGCTGAAACATCACTGACGGAGCTGTTCAGCGATGTTTTGGCGTGTTTCGGTTGGTAATGCGCATGTGCAGTCTTCCCGACCTTTGACCCCGGCCTGCTATAAGATTTTTAGCGCGCGCAATTTCCAGCTAGCGCTATAGCTAGCTAAATAGCGATACATCCCATGCGCATGCATGCGATATGTTTTGTTTATCTCGCGTGTAGTATTTGAGGCAAGAGTGGATAAGTTACGAAGTACGGACTACGGCTGCTGATTCAGTTTTCCCAAATTCAATCGAAATCTAGTAGTAAAAACGATATGGGAAGGTTAAGAAAATCATCGTTGTTAATTGGAATTATGAGAATTCGCCGACGTCGTAGGGAAAGTGATCGTCGTGCTCGTTTTTTTAGGTACTTTATGAGGCGACAGCAAGAGCTCACCAACCTCAGTCCAATGGGAATTGTTCACTTCCATGGTGATATTAATTAATCTAACAAAACACTCAAATACTACTACTAGACAGATATGGCCAGACGGGAATAACGAAGATTGAATAAAGGATGAGTTAACGGAATTGGAACAAACGGAGCTGAATGAACGGATAACACGCGCGACGATGGAAATGCTATAAATATCACACGGGAAGAACGTGGTTTAAAAGAGCGCGGGTAACAATCCGGAAGTGCCGGAAGTCACGTGCCTAACATCGCGATGTTACAACTGCGAGCGGTTATACTTGCCAAACACGCCAAAACACGCCAAAAGATCACACTTCGTTTTGGAATGTTTGGGGCTTGGCATGTCTGCCGGTAAAGCGTAGTTGCCCTTGGTAACATCGCGGCCAGGCTCGGGTTTGGCATTTTTTGGCGTGTTTGGATGACAGTGTAACTGCCCCTAGTGTTGACCATGGTGTAAATGTTACTTTAACCTTGGTTGTGATTGTTATTTCAACCTTGATTGTAAATTAAGTCAGTCATGGTATCTAAAGTTACATCTTCTGCAGTTTCCAATTAGCCACCAATTAATCTCTGTACAGTGTTGCATTATAGTTTAATAATCTCTATGATAAATGACTAAACAAAATTGCCAGGAAATGTAAGATATCTACCAAATCACTGTTCTTTTTTTATTATCTGAGGGTAAATATGCCCATACCCATGACACACTTTATGTATGTACGTATGTTATCGTGATTTATAAACACAGTGATTCAATAACACATTGTATCCCTTCTATATTGTGAGACCAGTACAGCTGCCAAAAATTTCCAAGGGCACATGGCTTAATTGATTGAATTACATGAACATGAACAAACACAGATGCAGTCCCACACACATATTTTGCAGACAGAGAGGGGTATTTAAAGGCACATGGTAACTTTGGGGGTTCTCGACCAAAAATGAATAAATAAATGAATGAAAAATCTAAAATAAATGATTAAAGAAAGAAAAATAGATATATTAATAAAATCAAGTTTACTTAGAAACTATCAAGTTAAAGTTTTTTCTCAAAAGATTAGGAGATTAAACTTTGGGGAATTATCGAATATCTAACCAAATGCACAGAAAAGAAATACGGAACACCAGATTACAGCTAAAGGATAAGCCTGCTTAAAACCCCATACCGTAAGTGCCTTTCCAATCAGTTTATCACGATTATGCCCATGATTGACTAATTTATGCTTATTCTTGAATCGATTGAATCTACTTGCAACAAACTTAAAGACTCCATTATTATTTTGGTTCAACTATCTTTCTCACTTTTATTCAGCTCAAAGTATAAGAATGAGATAACAGCTCTGTACTAGCTTCTGTCCCTCATGAAATTGATATCATTTTACTTTCAGTTTCAGTATACATAACAGTGTGTTGGGTTGAATAAATGGGGAACTGTTGCAGTACCTGATAGTCTTGTATGGAAACCGTACATATATATGTTTTTATTGTCACCTTCACACTGATATAATACATGACCAAGTCCAAGTAGTTTGTGTGTAGACTTTACGCTTGCATGTTTTCCTCATCATTCCCACACAAAAACAGTATATAAATACCAGTGCCAGATAGTTGTGTGTGAAGACCTTTTTGTGCCTGTTTTTATCATCATCAACACTAACACGGTACATTACCAATGCCAGGTAGTCTTGTTTTAAGACTCTCTACGTGTGTGTCTAGTGTCTACAATGTCATTCCCACTAACACAATCAATGCTAGATAGTCTGGTTTGCAGACCTTTCATTTGCACTTGACTTTGACACCCCCACATTAACACAGTACACTACAAGAGCAGGTAGTCTGGTTTGCAGACTTTCCAGTTTCCATGTGTGTGTTTATACTGTTATCGTGACCCTAATACAATATATATTACATAACCATTCTTGTAATCAGCGAAAGAATTTTTTATATATACATCTCTACTACTGTGAAGTCATGTTTTATGACACCTAATCAATGAGCGGGTACTGCCTGCATATTTATTCTGTCTGCCAGTCAGTCATTCAAGTGCTATCCTCACATGTTTCAAAGTCCATCACATTATGTGTATATAGCTTCATATTTCCTTGTTTCCTGCCATAATAAAACTGGAATAGAAAGAGATAGAGTATGGTATGGATGGAAGAGGAAGGCTAAAATTATAGTTTGTGTGAATCATGTAGACTGACTGAAGGAATTTTAACGTGGGAAGCTTTCCAATCGGATCAAGGAATTTCATGTGGACAAAATCAGGATCCAGTTTCAAGGAAATCTCATTTGGAATGTAACATGGGTCTCTTTTGGAACGTTTTGGAGCTAGTTTTTGCAAAATTTCATTTGGAATACCGGTAGATAACTGTGGATACATGCATTTATCATAATGTTGAAGTATTATTTTGCTGTCCTGTTTGATGTACTGGTGACAACTGCAGTATTCTGCAAGAAAGTTGTATGTTGGCTTTGTAAGTAAAAAAACAAACACAAAATTTGTATTGTTATTGGATGGTATTGGAGGGTGAGAAAAATGCCACCCATGCAGCTACAGATTGTTTATGCACATACACACATGTGCTAATACAGTCAACTATATTAAAGTGTATTTGTTGTATACAGGCCATAATACACTGTTCACCCTACTGTATTGTATACATAACAATACATATTGATAGTAGTTCTTTTGTCAATTGGTTTTGTTATATGTTATATCCTTGTAAGGAACACGCATCCATTCAATTTCAGAAGGTATTTAAAGTTTCGAGCTTGATGCTGGTTGGATAAATGTCATACAATTACATGTATTAGATACTATTACAGTGAAACCCGTCGACAAAGACCACCCAAGGGAGACAAGAAAAATGTACAAGTTCCTTGAGTACATGTTTCAGTGAGAAACCATTTTCAAGTGAAACAAAAAATGTGGTCTTTGTAGACAGATGGTCCTTCTATACAGGTGGTCACTATAAAGCAGGTTTGACTGTACAGTGTATAACCCAACTGTTGCCGAGCTGCAGTTGCCTAAGCATGTATTATTGTGACTTTAAGGTTAACTGTGAACCATAAAGAATTATTGAATGTGAACAAAGGTGGACTAATCCCTCATGCAAATATAGTCGTCAGGAGACTTACTGACTTTCATACTGTCCTTATAAACTTGATTCAACTGTAATTAGACCCAACAAAAAGTTTGGAAACTCAAGTATGATCATTAATATCTCCCTTGTCATGGCATAATCATTGCTATGTTTAGGATCATTAGAAAGTGGATTTATTCCTTTTTAAAATGATACCTTTTTAAAATGATACCTCATTGTTATGATTGTTCAGTCATGGAATGTGCAGTAGATCAAAAAGGTCAAATGTAAAAAAGGCTCTTGTTCGACTGTGCAATCGAATTGCCCTATTGCGTGGTCCTTTTCAACAGTCATTAACCTGAAGCATGATGCATCAGATAGTTGATGATCAAACACCAACAAATATTGCATGACATGTCAGCATAGTGCACGCATTTCAGATTTAGATTCTTTAGAATTTGGCATTCATGGATGACCAGGTGGGAATAATAGCCCCACTGTCATTTACAAAAACCACACTCTATTATTTCAAAGAAAGAAGAGTGCGCTGCATAACAATACGAGTGTTACCAGTTCATTTTGCTTTTTTCACTTTTGACCCTTCCCCTTATTCCGATGTACTGCTCGCTCCATGTCTGCTAAATCATAACAAATATGTTTCATTTTAAAGAAGAATAAACTCGCTTTCTAATGACAATAATCAAAGCGATGATTATACATGTACCATGATAAGGGAGCTATAATAGATCCAACATGTGTTTCCAAACTTTTTTTGAGGGGTTAGTTTCAAATGGCGTGTATTAATCAACTTTGGACTTGTAGAACAAATTCAAAGGTTAATCCCACTGATGTCAAAGGCGAAAAACTCACTTAAAGATGAAGTTGAGTGCTGGTCATGCGATTGCATTGTGAAAGAAACGGTGTGGAATCGACCAGAAAAGGTTGATCATCTAGCAGATAAGAATTTGTGTGTATTGTAAGGTTCTGGAATCATCAAAATGATAAGAAATTTGATCAAGTCTTAGTAAAGTTACAAACACTGTACACAGAAAGATGTATATGGGACTACACGAACACGTGGCGTAAAAATTCTACCCCCCCCCCCCCCCGAGTTTTACGATTGGAATATGAAGGCATTTGAAGAGCCATGCTTTTCAGGGAACATGTCTTATCTGATGTTCTTTCACGCTTGCATAATAAGAATGATAATGCTCACAAATTATTTTCACCTCTTCCCAGAACTCAACCTTCTCTTTAAGCAGGACTGCACTACTTGTAGCCACATGCGCTCTCTTTATAGCAAGCAATGCCTAAGCGGTACCCGTTGGTCACCCATGATCAGCTTTTTCTTATTTTCTAGTAATTGAGAGCTGAATTGATGAGATAACCACCTGTCAATGACCATGCAGGGAGGTCTAATCCCTCCTGGCCAAACTAGTGCAGACAGGCTTTAAGATGTGGAAATAGAAGCTATGTGGAGTTGTGGTTACAGGATAATTGATGAAATGCTTCTCTTTTATTCTTTGTTTCTTGTGTCATAGTGTTTGCCAATAGTGATCCTACGCACTTTGATGTGGACTATCTGGCACAAGCAGGAGGCTCAGATGAAGTAAGTCTTGATAAATTACTTTTTTTAATTTTTAAAGTCAATTTAGGTCTTGAGATCTTATCTAAGATTTTGACAAAAGATCACAGTGGTCTACCGATATATGGTTTTTCTTTTTACAGATTAATACTCGAAGACAATTGTAATTATATGTAGCTAAAACGCCTGAAAATGCTTATTTATTCTGTTTACTTCCCAATTTTTTATTTACATGGAAATTGTGTGATTAAAATGTCTTCCCCCCCCCCCCCAATTTTTATGTTTATAAAGCTAAATTCATGACATTGAAGGGGTTGGTGAACAAATATGTATTGAAAAAGTCTCCTAATTTGTTTGGAGTTTCATGCAGTTAAATTAGTTTACACAATTAAAATAAAAAAGTTGTTGATATAGCACTGATCTGCTGAAAATTTTGTTTTGTGGTATTGCTACGTATACACAATAAGAAGCCTGACAATTATTGACAGTTTGACACAGTCGTATGTGATTATTGGGATCCGGTATCTTTGTCTCAGATTCTGAAACAAAATCCTGGATTTAGCTCATGCTGCAATAATAATTATAAACCTTTAGGTCAGTCAGGAAACCCATGACTTTCACAAGCCGATCGCCTGTCTGATTATCAAGATATTTATGATGAAAATCAAAACCAAATTTTATGTTTTCCTAACAGTTTTCATAACACTACAGTCTATTGGGGAAAACGAGTATCATAAACCGGTCACTCAAAGATTTGTACTTTTCTGAGGCACTTCATGATCATTTTGAAGCGCAATTTTTTTAGGGCTTCAATATTACACCATATCACAGACACTGATAACACGTAGGGCCGTGCATCTCAGATCTAACATTGTTAAACGATGCCTTTAACTTATTGTTCTATTGATCCAACAGTTCAAGGAGTCGGCGTTGGCCAGGCAGTCTCTTTATGTCAAGTTTGATCCTCTTGTCAAAGGATGCCCAACACCACAAGGTAAAGAGATTTCACTTTTTCAGGGGTGGGAAGAAAGAGAAGGAAATGGAGAACGAGAGATTTCTCATAGTAGAAAGTATTTCATTGGTGATGTGTGTATGCATGAGGAAAGCAGTAGTGAATTGGAAATCTATTTTAAACAATCATCATGGAATGTACCCCAAATAAAGTTGCATGTAAGCTTTTACAACAAAATAATTTATATTTAAAACAATGCAATCTACCTGAAAAAAGTTGCTTTTAAGCATTTACTTCTAAATAATATATATTTAAAACAATGGAATCTACCCAAACAAAGTTGCCTGTTATCATTTACATCAAAATGATTTCTAATTAAAGCTATGGAATCTACCTAAACAAAGTGCCTTGTTACCATTCACAACAAAATGATTGTGTAGTGTGTAGATGCAGGGAGAAAGAGTAAGGGGACAGAGAGAATATGACAAACTCTGAAGAGTGCTGGTGAACAAGACAAACAAAGAGAGAGAGAGAAAGAGAGAGAGAGAGAGAGAGAGAGAGAGAGGTAGAAGAAGAAGAGGAGATTCTAATCATTTTCATCATAAAATATTTGATGCTACTATGAGGCAGTAGAAAGATACAAAAGAAGAATCTGTCAGACTTTTAATATCATCTCCAACATTTTTTCTCCAACTTGCCTGGACCCCCAGGCCCATCAGCTCTGCCTGCCTTAGAGCCCGAGGGCGGAGACCTGCTTCAGATGCAGACCCCTCCCCCAGGCCAGGTCCTTGACGGTAGGGCCAAGAGGAGAGCAGCCGCCAATGAGAGGTCCAACACCAGTCCAGAGAACACAGCAGCCAGCAAGAACGTGGAAAACCTACTGCAGTACACTCCTAAGAGTGATTTCGATTCAGAGGTAAGCATTTGTCGAGGTGCACACATATTTTTCCTCAAGACACGTAGAGGGGACTGTTTCTCAAAGACTAAGATCGACTTTAAGTTGGACTTAAATATGGCAGGCCGTTCATGCCACCGGTTGCTCTCACCATTATGATGTTTAGATAATATTTTTTCCTTCAATTATAAATTATCAAAGAAATATAAATTCTGTAGATTTGTGACCATGATTTGTACGTCCCTTGAGAGACCAATGCCAGTAAAAGGTGAGAGCAACCAGTGGCATGAATGACCTGCCATAGTTAAGTCCAACTTAAAGTCGATCCTAGTCTTTGTGAAACACTCGATCCCAGTCCTGTAGTAAAATCCTTAAAATTGAAAACCTTAACTCAACTCTTATAATGACTACATGTAGGTGTTTTCAATTTAGTTCCACCTTTGTACTAGAATCTGGAAAAGATTGAACATCTGGAACTTGTGAATCTTATTGTATAACATATTTTAATGGGGATTATCGCTTCACAGTTACTTTCTAAGTTATAACACTCATCAAATTCCTGACTTTATTCCAGGATAAAACATATCTTATTTCTAACCCTAAACACTTAACCTGCCTAAACCCCAATTACACCCAAATCTCTTACACTACTTGATGAACAAAGTAACATTTAGCTTTGTGTAGATATTGCCTGAGTGAATGTCAGATCGCTGAACCCTGAGGATCCTCCTAGGCACATACGGAACCTCATCTACAACCAATAGTTCAAGTATTTGGGGATATTAAAACACATGTACATGTATGTTCCGTAATTTTCAATGAAATGATACTGGATATATTTTGATTATCTTATGCCTTGTGCAGTGGGGATATCATGTTTACATGTTTCGCTTTGTCATACCAATATTGTTACGACATACCAACGAGGGTTTACCAAACTGTGATAGCTCCAATTTGTAGATATTTGCAAGTTCTGTGCAAGGTTTATGCATGCTCAAACTTAAACTTCTTTACCAAAGCACTCACTTTGATGGAGTTCATTTTTAATTCATTTACCCATCCCAATTTAGATCAGGGATGCCAGTTTTCAGGCAATAGCCTTTAATTCAGGCCCTGGCAAGTTATTTTCAGAATATAGTTTAGGCTTTTTGTGTACAAATAGCTCATTCTAGGTGATTTTCAGGCCTTCTGATCAAACTGGCATTCCTGTTAGATGTATTATATGCTTATTGCTATGTTTTGTTGTATTTGTTTTGTTTAGGATCCAATGGATAGTGCCAACTCAAGCACTGAAATTCCTTCCTCAGTACCTCAGACAGTCACCAGCAGTGATGAAGGCATAGTACAGGTAAAGCGATGCCATGGTGATTGTGATGATGGTGGTGGTGGTGGTGGTGATGGTGATGATAATGGTGATGATGATGATGATGATGATGATGATGATGATGATGATGATGATGATGATGATGATGATGATGATGATGATGATGATGATGGAGATGGCGGTGGCGGTGATGGTGGTGATGTTGATGGTGGTGGTGGTGATGGTGGTGGTGGTGGTGATGTTGATGGTGGTGGTGGTGGTGGTGGTGGTGGTGGTGGTGGTGGTGGTGGTGGTGATGTTGATGGTGGTGATGTTGATGGTGGTGGTGGTGATGGTGGTGGTGGTGGTGGTGATGTTGATGGTGGTGGTGGTGGTGGTGATGTTGATGGTGCTGATGTTGATGGTGGTGGTGGTGATGTTGATGGTGGTGGTGGTGGTGGTGAAGATGGTGGTGATGATGATGATGATGATGGTGATCTAGATGATGGTGATAATGCAGAGGAGAAGGATAAAGAGAAAGAAAGAGAAGAAGGAGTGTAGTGATGACGATAGACAGGATGATGATGAATGGTGATGTCGGTAATGACGATGATGGCTAAAGATGATGGTGATAGTGATAGAGATGGTGTTGATGATATATGATTCTGATATTCAACATACACAATTTTAAACACACACCAGAAGGAAAAAAAACAATTTGGATGTAATTTACTCTCTACACTTTTCCTGTTTGCAGACGTTGTATGTCTTTCAGAGGCATCCACCAAAAGATTTACATTGAAACATATTTTTTATGCGCCTCTTTACTTTTCTCTTATCTCATTTTTCTCCAATTCTATTTTTCTCTAATTTTTTCTTCTTCTACAATTTACCTTTCCTTTGCGTAGATCCTGCGTTACTCACAGGCAGATATGGATGCTGCAGTGTTAGAGGCTGCTAGGTCAGCAAGCATCGAAGCACAGAGAGTCGTAAGTGTATTAATAACTATTTTATATTTCATGATAAAGTTTGTTATTGTTCTTTTATTGTGTAAAAAACTTGCCAGGAGTGCATTAATAAATAAATGTGGAAATCTTATTTATAACACTTCCAGCTCTTCTTTCTTTTTCCATTTGCTCCACTTAATAAGAATAAAATCTCCATCTATTCAGAATAATATTGTATTTCTGTTATTAATAAAGTGACCCCTCCTTCCCCCCCCCCCCAAAAAAAAAAAAAAAAAATAATCAATTTTATATTGTTGCTCATTTCTTGAAAATTAAAGAAACAAACTTAGCTGTCCTAAAGAATAATCACTAAATCTCAATGGTTTGATCACTTATTCACTAATCATAGTTAATTGGGAAAACCAAATTGATATGCCATATAGTATATCTGTACAGCGCTCAGAGACGTCCGAGATGTATTAAAGATAAAGACCAGTTATGGTCATGCGATTGCATTGTGAAAGAAACGTTGTGGGATCGATCAGAAAAGGTTGATCATCTAGCATATAAGTATTGGTGTGTACTGCAAGGTTCTGGAATCATCAAAATGATAAGAAATATGGCCCAGTCTTCGTAAAGTTACAAGCACTGTACACAGAAAGATGTATATGGGACCGCGCACACGTGCGTTTATCTCTCACACACCAATAGATAAACTAATTTACCAAATATATCAATTAGTAGGCGGTTTCCCGGCAAAATTTTTATCATAATGTATTAGTCAAAACATACCGTACTCTTTCACATGATTGGTAATAAGAGCTTCCATTTCATTTTTTGAAATCGGGGCTTTTCCAATACTGGTCTTTACCTTTAAGTGCTGTATAAAAGTTGAATATTATTATTATTATATTATGTCTCATGTTACTTTGCAGGCTGAAGAAAAATACAAGGAATATGAAAAGAAGTTCCATTCAAGCAACGAGAATATCAAAGAAGTCACCAAGTCCAAGGAGGTGTTAGAGAAATCCAGTTCAGATATGAGGTGAGTAATAAAACTCCATCGGTAGTGGTGATGGTACCATACTACAGTCAAACCTGCTTTAGTGACCACCTGTCTACAAAGGCCACTTATTGTGTTTCCCTTGGGCGGTCGCTATAGATAAGTTTGACTGTAGAAGCAAATGCTGGAATTTCATTGAATATTGCTGTGAAGTAGCTTACAAAACTAAGTGGTATGATAAAATGTGTATGGAGTGTAAAATGCAAACTCGTAATTTCATGGCATTGAGTCAGAACTATATCATTGGGATATGGAGCTAGTAAATATCTGTACTACCATCAATCATTAGACTTGTTCTTCTTATCTTACAGTTACATGTCATTCAGATTCGTCAAAACACAAAAAAAAATTCTCCGATATTGCTATTAGTTGTGCCCTTAGTGTTGCGGCGCATCTTTTCATGCCACTTCATTTTGCTAAAGTTCCTTATCTAGCATGAGGACATATAAATCAGAGTCCACCCTAGGCTTTTCATAGTTCGTAGTTGAGATTTTGATTCTTGTTGTAAGGCTTGAGACATACGATTGATGACGGCAGACTACAACCATAAAGCCAAGGCCTAGGTTCTGACGTTCAAACTTTTTATTGTTAGGATTAATGTAGTATATCGCTTATTAATTTATTCATTATTACGGAGCTTGTTATTCAATTTTTCAAATGTACGTTATGTAGTGCTGTAAAACAACAAACTTTCTAAAATGTTGAGAGAGCACCAGTTTACGCAAGTATCATTTTAACAGCTTGCAAAAGTTTCTGGTTATAGAGTATACGTTGCACAAATTAGATCTCTTGAAAAAGCTTGAAATATATATTTTTTGTTTGTATAATTATGTTATGTTAATCATCTTGCAGAGCACTGATCATGGAATATGAGAAATCTATACAGCAACTAATGGGTGAGTTATTCTAAAATGTGCAAGGAGAATTTCAACATTTTTCAAGTCACATATTTTGTTATTTCTTGGGAACATTTGTACAGAAAATGAAAGAAATGTATATTGATGATAAAATCATATTACAAAAAATTCAAGTCCTTATACAAAACTAGCTGATTGATTTTCTGTACGCAGCATCACAGCTCAAATGCTAATATAAAAGGGTTGGGTCATGGTTGGGATGTCATTTTATGTATTTTCTTTTTTCTTTTGAATGTTTACAGTGGACGTGTCGCAGGCCAAGACTTCATCAGACGACAAGGCGTCGCAGCTGCAGAAAGAAAAGGACCAAGCCCTTGAGGACATGGCCTCAGTCGAGAGTGCCTTCAGCGACCTGCACAGGAGATATGAGAAGTTAAAACAGACGCTTGATGGCTACAGAAAGGTATGGTTGGGTTTCTGTTTCCACAGAGTCATATTAAAGAGAAAGTTGAGTTCTGGTCATGCAGTTGCATTGTGAAAGAAACCTTTGAGGAATCTATCTAAAAGGGTGTTCATCTAGCACATAAGTAATGGTGTGCTGCAAGGTTCTGGAATCATCAAAATTTGGCCCAGTCTTGGCAACGTTACAAGCACTGTACACAGAGAGATGTATATGGTACTACATGAACATGTGGCATAAAAATCTGTCCCGATTTATATGATGTTACATGCCATATTTCTAAATATTAAGGCATTTGAAGAGCCATGCTTTTCAGGGAACATTTTGGCCCGAATTCACAAAGGAGGTTTATCGACAACAAACCTCCTTTTGTTTTTTACAAACCAGGTTTGTAAAAAACGCGTCAAAATGTGTCATATGACGTATGAAAACCAAGGTTTGTCGACAAACCTCCTTTGTGAATGTGGGCCATATTGTCTGAAGTTTTTCCACACTTGCATAATACAATGATTGCGCTCACAAATTATTTTTCTCCTCTTCCCAAAACTCGACCTTCTCTTTGAGCGTTGTTTACTCAAAATTTGTTTAAGCTACCTTTAAAATAATGCTTTCAAAATAAGATAACATAACGTAAGCATTGTGGTTAAACTTCTGTTTCTGTTTCTGTTTCCAGAGAGCCGTATTTAGCCTTGCTCACTCAAAAACTTTGTTAAACTATCTTTTAAAAAAATGCTTTGGCAAATAAAATAACATAACTGTGAGCATAGTGCTCTTCACATTGTTACAGTGCACTCTGTATGTCCATACTGCATTTCACATCTCAAAGTATCCTACAAGTCGACCAACTGTGCCAACTTTGTTGCAATCATCGCCCTTTTTTCACCGTCACGTGGCAGTTATTTGTTCCTAAAATATGTCTCATTTTACATCTGCTTTTATTTTTTAGGCAGTTTGCCAAATCATGTGCAATAGGAGGCTGATTATGAAAATGTCCTTGATGCTTGCATAAATGAAAATAGAGATATTCAAGCGATGTTCATTCTGTTCCATGGATAGATGTCACATTCTAACATCTACGTGCATTTGTTTACTAGAAATAATGACTCCATATGTATTTAGTCTTTGGTGCATAGCCCATTTCATATTTGCTGTTGTTTCACACTCCCTTAAAGATGGTTTGTCCTCTTTTGCAGACATTTAAACATGAAGTTCCATTCCATGAATCCATTGGTATATTGAAGAGGTCTGTTATTGGGAACCTCCCACCATGTGAAAAAATTAAAAGTGGAAGTGTTGTGGTGTAGTGGTTAAATCGTCAGACTTTGGATCACGGTCCGGGGTTCGGGTCCCGCCACAGCACTAATGTCCTTTGGCAAGACATTAATCTACATTTGCCACTCTCCACCCAGGTGTGAAATGGGTACCGGTAGGTAGGAATTCCTTGAATGCTGTGAGCACTGAAATCGGTAGACTAGCAGAGCCGGGGTAATATTGGGAGTGCCTTCAGCACCTAGCATGGTGGATATGTGCGCTATATGAATATCCAATATTATATATATTTTATTAAACACTCACCAAGTATCATGGAGTTTGCACAAGTCTGCAAAACGGATTTATGCCTTTAATTATTTCTTCCATTTCCTTTTGTCTTTGTCACAGAATGAGGAGACATTGAAGAAGCATGTAACTGAATACCAGGGCAAGGTGAAGAAACAAGAGCAGAGATACCAGACACTTAAATCACATGCAGAGGAGAAAATAGAAAAGTGAGTCCAATCACTAATATTATAATGAACATTACTGTATAAGCCAACATTTTCATGTATCAATACTAATACAGATAGCAGACGAAATATTTCTTGTGAAATGTCACAAATTTGTCTGTAGTGGTCAACTATATTGTTTCCTTTAAGAGGAAACGTTTGTTGAAAAGCCTGTATAAAAAGGCCACCACCTGTCTAGAGTGACTGCTTTTTGTGCTAATTTCCCTTGGGTGATCTTGATGAACAGGTTCAACTGTTAAAATGAAAGACATATGGAAATTAACTTCTCATTAATTTTCTATATTCTCTGTATTTTTCTGCGCAGAGCCAATGAACAAATCACCAAGGTAACCAAGAGTTACCAGTCCGAGATTGCTGGTCTCACGGCAAACTTGAAGAGAGAACAGATGAACGTAGAAGGTCTGGAGAAAACAATTCAACAAAAGGTAAGATCCATCTTGGTTACTTGTTATGTAAGTCTAAGAAAACTTGAGTTTTGATCGTTTGATTACATTGTGAAAGAAAAGAACCTGCCTGGAAGCACTCACTATGAATATGACTGACAAAGAAAGCGGACAAAATATACAGTTCCTCAGGTAGACAAAGGAACATCCCTTCACTGCTATTATGTACAAATGTGTAGAACAGGTGTCACATGCATATTCACCTGTTTACATAATAGCAGTGAAGGGATGTTCCTTTGTCTACCTGAGGAACTGTTTATTTTGTCCGTTTTCTTTGTCTGTCATATTCATAGTGACTGGATCATTCTCGTAATGTAATCAAGTTTAATGCACAAATCTTTGTTAAATGCTTTCACCTTGTTACAAATTATTTCATTCACCTGTTACAAATCATTGTATTTCAATAGTCAGTTTGCAAACATGTCATTAAAGATGATGGCTTAACCTACCTATCAACACATTATGTATGCACTTTGCATTCTGACTATTGAAATACGGTTATTCGTAAACAAGTGAATGAAATCATTTAGGCACTTAACAAAGATTTCTGCATTTAATTTGATTATATTACAAAAATGGGAAATGTAAATTATTGAATACATAAGAATTTTACATCCAAGATTTGGGAATGATCAAAATAAATGTTTGGTCCATCATTTTCATTTTGTTGTTGTTGTCCTATTTCAAATACGAGGGCATTTTAAAGAGCACTCCTTTCCAAGAGACATTTCTACTATGGTATCTTTTGTGACTGACATACAAATAATAAAACAGCTCACAAAGTGTTTTCCATCTTTAATAGAAGACAATCATTTCTTTAAGTGTATATAATCAGTGTCCAAGGGCAAACAACCTTTGTGAAATTAACAAGAACTTCTAAATCTAGAAGAAAACAAAATATTTAGAGATATGTCAAGACCCTTGCAATTCATCAATGTCTTAAAATGAGCCATTAGTGTGAAAAAAGATTATTAGAAATGATCCTTGTTTTTTTTTCCCCACCAACCATTGCAGACCAAACAATGCGGAGAGTTGACAAATATTTGTGATGAACTCATTTCCAAAATGGGAAGCAGCGGTCAATGAGAACAATATCAGTGCGGGAGCAGATTTCTGATGCAGCTGGAATAAAAAGCAATCATCGATCTGCTTTGAACACTTATTCTTGTGGATCATATAGTACTTGTGTAACATATATGGAGATCGACTTCAGACAGAGATGGACTCGTGGAAGCTCATGCGATGCGGAGAATATACATTTTGTTTACACTGTTGGGTCGTGTAGGACGTATCTATTATTACGATGTGTGAGTAACGGAACGATACGGACAACTTTGTGAATAGCTGGATATGCTGTGATGCCAAATTCTTGGATTTATCTGAGAATATTATACGATAGTAGAACAACTTTTTGTTATCTTGCGGGTACTTTAGATGTACTGTATGCCTGGTACGGCAGTCATGCTGATGTTGTTGAACACATGTGCACTGTATTTCTAAGATGTACTTTTTTTACGAAGGAAGAAAAATTGTTCTAAAGAAGAACAATTATTGCCAGACCTTGCAATTTAAGAATAGCATCAGTTATCTTGTGTAGGGATGGACTCCATTGTAGGATTGGACGGCTATGAAATAAAACAAGATGCTAGAAACATTTAGAGTAATATAATGTTAATATTCTAGTGTCTCATACCATAGCCTTCATTGAACGTGAATACTATTAGAATTAAACATGAGCTAATAAAGAGAGATAGTTGTGATGTGCACATACAGTTTCCTCCCACATTTAATGAACCATGAATGTGCACGCCTTTCTGTGACAAAACTCTCTGTACTCTAATAGCTATGGAATCCGCCTGTCGGAGGCCGTTTAGTTTACATACATACATGCACCCCCTCTAATTTAGTCTTCACTGCACTGGTTAATTATTGAAAGCTGGAAACGAATTGTAACTGAACATAAAACGGAGTGTGATCGTATGTAGAATCATTGAGCCTCATTTACACTTGACACAGTAAACCCGCCTGCAGCAAAGTGCCCGATGGGTTAAACAAAAAGTGGCCGCAGGAAACAACAGCCCCTACACGTTCCGTGTAGGCTTTGTACTACAAGATACAGGAACGTGAAGCCCGCCATTTTTATGTCATTGTATATTGCTGTGCCATTTGTTCTGGCGGTTTACAGTGATAGGTGTGAATGAGGCTTCTCTCGCTAATGATTTCTATGTGATTTGGAGATGTCGCCATCAAATTTTTGATGGAATGTGAGGATATTGCGCTTATGGTCCACTGTTTGCACTGCAGATTAGATAATTCAGTAATGCCCACTTTGTGAAAACTGAAAAATTAGGTCGGTTAGATTATACATGTATAGGTAAGTTGGACTTTGTCACAAAGTCATATAAACCTATAGTGATCTCGTTTGAAACTTTTATTTAGATTTCTTTCATTTTATTTGGCCAGTCAATGATGATCTTGCAAGTATGCTTGATATCTTTGTTCTTCTGCGATTAATTGTGTTGTAAGTATATCGTACATTCACAGTAATTTATTTTTACATAATCTGCAAATACCTGTATAGACAAATAATGAATTTATGAATGTATCAAATGTGTGTATCTTACCTAACACATTATATGCTGGATATAACGTTTGCTTTGTAACACATCATAATATAATATCCATCCATGATTTCTATGTGCTCTTTGATTCAGGGTAGTAAATGTAATAAATTGTAAACAGATATATGATGCTATAGGAAACTGGCAACGCAGGGCTACATAGTTCCATGACTGCTCGCGTCAGGGCGACCATAATAGTTCTGTAATGATGTTTGAGGTTTGCTTTAATACCTAACTGCTAAGAAATCATGTATATGCTTGTATTAAAGTCAACCAGGGGATTGACAGCTTTAAATCCTCTCCGAGGGACTTTGTTATGAGGATCATAGCCTTACCTAAGGGCATGAGCCCATTGACTTGGTTTTGAACCCAGGGCCTCCTGGTCACGAGACCACTGCTCTACCACTGATCCATCATGCCTCCTCCAGTGCACTATGATCAAGGGATAATGAGCAAGGGAATACACCTGTTTACTAATATATTTAAATTCATGCAGGTTTCTCTTCAGATCCCCTGGTCACTGGTTGATTCACTTGCCATATACCGTACATATCTATATAGATAAAACAGACCATTAAATTGTGTTGCTGTGTATGGTCAACCTCTGGCAAGCTTTTGAATTTTGAACAGAATCCTTTTTATTTGCATAAAACAAGTCTGTTCATACCCTACTAGCATTGTAAGTAAGGCATTGTAACTTATTTAAGATTTAAAATCTAATTTCTTTGACAATTTATGAATTTCATTAGATAAGTAATGTGGTACAAGCCAATCCACTCTACTCACCATAACTTGTTTTAAGCAAGCAATCTCATGACATGCCTCTACATGTACGTCCATTGCGTTTAAAAAACTTTTAATCTGGTTGAAACAGCTTTACGTACCTTGTAGATCAACTTGGGTTATTTATCTTGCAGGCAAGAATTTGACTGGATGAAAGTTTTATAGACAAGATAGGCTGTATCAAACTCCACTGGACAGTCTTGTGCAGTTCAGACCCTAACATCACAAATATGAAGGGAAATTATTGGCATATTCACTGTCCCGAGAATTCAAGCTTATCGATCAATATCCAAGTGTGTTTAAGGATGTTTTATAACCGACAAGGCATCCCTTTGCTACTTGATCATTGAAAAATGATTGTGTCACGCTGATAGTTTGTTGTGCAGGCTATTTATAATGCAATGTGCTTTCCTGGAGGATAGTGATAAGTGTTGTAAATGCTGGATGAGTTGTGACTTTTATTGTTGTTCAGTGCTTTACTAGGACAGGGGGGTGTTTCACAAAGATCCTAAGTTGAACTTATCTTCAAGCATAGAATGTTGATTCAAATCATTCATATTTTCTATTGTCAAGGAGATTTCATATTCTTGATGTGGAATTTATGAAAAGTCTATAATACTTGATTTTCGCTTTGAATATATTTTATTTTAAGGCTACAAATGGCTCTCCATTATGTTTAAGTCCAATTTAGAGTTAAGTTTGACATAGGATCTATGTGAAACATCCCCCAGGAAACGTATAATGTAGGTAGCTGTCGTATTTCGGCAATGATGAGGGTTGAACTGGTGTCAACACATTTTCTTTCTATTTTGATGTGATGTTCATTGTCAGATTTCAAAGTGCTTTTGTGATGATATTACTGCTATTGCCTTCTTGAGTTTCAGTAGAGAGATATCAGTTTATTTTCAAATATATGTATTTCAGACGGAGTGACATAATGGACGAGATTGTAGTCATTACCTCAAAGACATTTAGATGTAAATTTGCTGAATGTGTACTTTGAAATCTTATCTTTGGTAGCATTCACAAGCAGTGTACAAAGTGTGTATTTTGTACTGATTGAATATTGTGGAAAGTACTCTGAACTTTTATGGTAGGTAATCAATCTTGATTGTACGCTAATCAATTTTGAAGTTTGGCTTTATTTTCAAACTTATTTGGAAAAGATTTGCAACACAAAGGAAATTTGAACACCTCCAAGAGAAATCATAGATGCTTCTATCATTCTATGAATTCTTGATATAGATTGATCGTTTTGTTTAGGAATTTTGAACTATAGATATACAGCTGTAGATGAAGGATGGCTGTCCTGTCGAAATATGAACTTTGGAGAACAAACTACTAAAGGTTGTAATGATCAAATATTATCCAGAAAAGTCCAAGAATATTTGAGTTTACACAAGTTCAGTCATTACTTGTTTGTCCCAGCCCTAACTCCAACCCCCCCCCCCCAAAAAAAAAAAATCAGTCAAATTATCACCCTGTGCCATATAACAACATGGATATAGAAAAATTGAGCATACTATTACCCCAAAAAAGCCTTTCGAACATATTAATGTCTACAGGCATGCAATGTCAAATATGTTATCTCCTTATTCATAAATCATACACGAAGGAACGTCATAATCACAAGTTTGTTGTGCTTATCATCAATCATAGAAGACCGAAAAGGTGAAAATGTCAGATGCAACATTAAAAATAAAAATAATTTGCTTTCTTTGGAAGTATTTTCCAGAAAAAAATGATTGTTTTGCAAAGTTGAGTGATTTATGGAAGTGACAAATATTTATTGAGGTAGAGGTGTGAAAAGTTCAAAGTCTCTTACCGGTAATATTTTCACAATCTGGATTATGATGTCTAGATTGTATTATTACAATCTTGCTTCTCAATACAACAAAATCCAGGGGAGTGTTTCACAAAGATCCTAAGTTGAACTTGTCTCTAAGTTGGACTTAACAATTATGGAAAGCCATTAGCATCCTAAGAAATATTTTGTCAAAGTTATTGTAAAAGGCATAAAATGTTGATTAAAATCATTCATATTTTCTATTATCATGGGAGATTTCATGTTCTTGATGTGGAATTTATGAAAAGTCTAAAATACTTGAATTTTTGCTTTTGAATATATTTCATTATAAGGCAACGAATGGCTCTCTGTAATATTTAAGTCCAACTTAGAGTTAGTGAAACACCCCTCAGTAGAGGCCCTCGACTCGAATTTATAGGAATTAAATTTTTATTCTTGTGTGCAAATTGAGTAGATTGAAGAAAATGTAACTTTTGTACAGTTTGCAGCAGCCTTATTTTATTTACTTTGCTTGTAAATATGGCGTGTACATTGACCATTTTGACACAGAGCATGATTGCAATGAAATGTACTAAAGATTTGTTCATAAATGGAATATAATAATAACGACCTATCTCATTGACATGAATGTATGCTAGATATTTTGTCCTGTGTATATTTCCTGCTTATTTTTTCCCCATTCTTTTTTTTTCTTCAATGACTATTTTGAGCTTCCGTTGAGATTTATGTTACAAAGTTTTCTTTGTACAATTCATGACAAAGATGACTTGTCTATTAAAAATTATTGTGGAAAATCTTAAGTCTTTGTGATGTTTTTTTCATTCATACTGTCAAATTCTGATTATCAAATTGCTGAATGAAAAGGGAAGAGAATCTAACATGGCCCTTTAATGTAGAGAGTTATCAATTCATAGCTCAATTACATCTTTCCAATTAGTAGTTACCACATCAAACAATTTTATGTTAGAAAAAAGAATTCATCTTAAAATGCAATCATTTGATTGTACTTTGTTTTATGTTATGAGGGCCTTGTGGGATTAAAACAAAAGTTTTGGTAGAAACTATACAGCACGTGTAGCAAAAAATTAAATCAAATAAATCATTTAAACACACTTTACAACAAAACAATTATGCCTTCATAAATATTGTGAGCAGCAAAATGGTGATGATGGTAAATAATGATGTTGATGTTGATGATGATGATGACAAGTGGTGAAGATGATGTTGATGATGAACACAAAAAGATGATTATGACGAAGACAAATGATGAAAAAGTTAATGAGGATGTTAATGAGAATGATGACAAATGGTGAAGATGATGACAAATGAAGATGTCGATGATGATGTTGCTGCTGCTGTGGCTCGATCCTGAGGATGATGTTAAAGATTTTGATGTTGATGATGTTGCTGATAATGTATATCTGTACTTTCATATGAGCAGCTTCGACTTTTATCCCCTTAGAAATAAAATACAACAGCTGGCATTAAAGCGATTCAGTTACATTGTTGAAGGTTGATTAAAAAAATTGCGTAATTTTTGTATGAAATATTACTTTTTATCTTCCTTCTACTGTACTAACCCTCTAAGATGCAAAAAATCCTGAAAAATTCTCAAACCCCAAAGATATTAATGGTTTTCTAGGAAGGCGTCAATGTGCAACACCCTCTAACAGTGATTAACAGTAAATTCTCTCAACCATTTTTGAATTTTCCCAACCATTTTTCCATGAAGATAAGACAAAAGACAGGATTTTAAAAATCTTTCCACACTTAAATGTCTGGAATGGTATAAAGAGCCAATTCATTGCTTTTTGATGATTTACATTCACCTAAAATGTAATTAAATTGTAATAACGTAGTTGGGAGAATTAAGGTATCGATCAGATCAGTTTTTCCCCCAATTTTTATCGTTAATAATGGTCTATTTTCACTCAAAGTTGAAGTCACTACCTCACCATTTTCTCTCATCTTTACAATTTTACCAAGTCCCTTTAAATACATGTCATATCATGGATAGGTTAATTTATTATAGAACATCACGTTGATGACAATTAAGGATAATACGGATAAAAAACGTGTCTCCTGCATTTTCTCGAGCAAGAAGGTCTTAATAATAGTTAGTACTTTTCTTTTTACTGTTTTTGTTATGTTGTTGAAGACTCCCACTGAGATCTGTTTTGAAAGTTCTGTAACACAACTCTGATGGAATGATTATTTTAAAGGTATTACAAAGTTTTGGGAAATTTTGTAAATTGGGTGGATACTAGTGATTCTTTACAATTTTGATATATTTGAATGCCCTTGTGGATGTATTCTAAGCACTTAACAATTTAGCCCCTAAAACACTTCTGCTTTTGAGAAAAATTGAATAATAACAATTTACCGGTGCTCCCGGTAAATTTTGATAAACTCCAAATAGCACCTACGGCCATACAATGGTAGCTGCGACCATGAAAATCTCAGAATATGTAGTTGTGATATATGATTTCCAAACGGGAATAGCTAATCAGTTGATTTTAGTCAAGAAACATTGTTAGAAAGCTTAATTAATATACTGACCTTGAGAGTTTATTATTAACAATCTCATAACTTTAGCCTCGATTTCAACCGCGACAACAATCACTGAATATCGTAGGATCGCATATATTTCCAATATGTTCATTTGAACTAAATTCATGACCCCATACCAAAACTTTGTATTACCTTTAAATAAATGTCATATCATGGATAGGTTAAAGGTACTATGTCCCATTTGCAGGCCCAAAAAATGAAAAATTTAAATTCCAACTGCATTTGAAAGATAATACTAATTTAGAACTTCCCTAAAAAAGGTGGGGCTTGAAAATGTCTTCAAGTGGGAAAATAATGACTATTAGTTGTCAAATCGACTTTAGGGCTATAGAGCCCAAAAGTAATAGTCTTGATTTTCAGACATTTGTACCGAATGGTCATACGTTTTATGCTGCGCAAAGATTCAATCAGTTTAATCTTGGCCAAGAAGTGGGTTATTGATGTAGACAAATGCTCATGTACCCTTTACAACTCTTTTCATGTATGTTACCAAACCAAAGAAGAAAAAAAGCCAGTCAGTCACTCAATAGTGTCTGACAGTGAAGTCTAGCAAGTAAACGGGTTTCCTTGCATAATTTGAATACGAGGACACTGCTAACATTTAAATTTCACAGATAGGACATACATGACATATTCATAATTCCTGCAAAGTTCTACAGCATTTGAGGTTGGCTGCAAAAGGGACATAGTACCTTTAATTGATTAATACTAAGCATAACGTTGATGATAATATGGAGAAAAAATGTTTCTCCTGCACTTTCTAAAGCAAGAAGGTAAATTATACTCTCATTTATACTGTTTTTGTTAT